GGGGGGTCTCACCTCCGGTTTGAGAGCCAGCAAGGAGGTGAGGAGTCCAGGAATGTGGTTGGTGCCGATGTCCCGAGCCACTTCGGGCAGCTGGGCGGAGTAGCGCAAGAGGTCTCGGAGAATCGGGACGGCCAGCTCCATGGTGGCGGGCGGATCCTGGGACTTTTTTTGGGGGGGGGGGAAAGAAAAGGTAGCGGGGGGAGGCAGGGCTCCCGTCTCGGCGGGGCGACGGGACGGGGGAGGCTCCCCCCGGACTCACCTGGAGCAGGTGCTGGAGGCTGTGCAGCCACCCCAGGCAGTTCTGGGCGAAGGTCTCCGAGCCGCTCTCCGTCACCAGCAGCGAGAGGAGGCAGAGGCCCTCGAAGCTGCCCGGGAGAGCGGAAAAGTCAGGCACCAGGTGGAGGGGCAATCGTAGAGGAACAAGAGTGGGAAGGGGGGCCTTGGAGGTCATCTAGTCCAACCCCCGCTCTCAAATATTGGAAGGCTACTCTCCTGCCTCCCCTGGTCCTTTTGTTCCTTAAAATCAGATGAACAGAGTTGGAAGGGACCTTGTAGGTCATCTAGTCCAACCCCCACTCTTAAATACCGGAAGGCTGCTCTCCTGTCTCCCCTGATCCTTTTGTTCCTTAAAATCAGATGAAAATCAGATGAGCAGAGTTGGAAGGGACCTTGCTGGTCATCTAGTCCACCCCCCCTCAAATATTGGAAGGTTGCTCTCCTGTCTCCCCTGGTCCTTTTGTTCCTTCAAATCAGATTATGAGTTGGAAGGGACCTTGTAGGTCATCTAGTCCAACCCCGGCTCTCAACTATTGGAACGCTGCTCTCCTGCCTCCCCTGGTCCTTTTGTTCCTTAAAATCAGATGAACAGAGTTGGAAGGGACCTTGTAGGTCATCTAGTCCAACCCCCCTGCTTGACCAGGAGAGCCCATTCCAAAGATTAGCCTCGGATCAAATTCACAGCCTCTCGATTTGAGACCTGTAGGCCACCAGGGGGCGGGGGAGAGGAATCATAGAAGAACAAGAGTTTGAAGGGGTGCCTTGGAGGTCATCTAGTCCAACTCACCCCCACCCCCGCCCTCAAATATCGGAAGGCTGCTCTCCTGTGTCCCCTGATCCTTTTGTTCCTTAAAATCAGATGAAAATCAGATGAGCAGAGTTGGAAGGGACCTTGCTGGTCATCTAGTCCACCCCCCCTCAAATATTGGAAGGTTGCTCTCCTGTCTCCCCTGGTCCT